TAAACGCAAAATCTGATACTTCCTCTCCGACTGGTGGAGTCACGGCAGGTGTGGAACATTCGTACCCTTTCTATCCCACAAACCAGCAGCAGCACCATCAATATGCTCACCAACATCATTATCACCAGCCACAGCCACAGCAACAACCTCATTACCCGCAGCAATTTCGTTCCTTAAGCGCTTTGAGCAATAGCTCAATTTCGCATCGCCACAATGGAAGTGAAAGTGGGAAGTTGACGACACGCTCAACAACCTCAACTGTGAGTCACAATACTCGCTTTCGTAAACGACATGTTAGTAGTCCACTCGCTCTGCAAAACGAAGGTCATGATCGCCACGTCCAAGCGAGCGTTTTGAGCCAAAAATCAATAGATCGCCCGCAGCGACAGTCAGTTATTAAACGGGGTCACGTGCATGGTCTCACGAAGTCATTAAGCCGAAAAAATAGCGAGCGATCGATGAGTTTATCGTTAAGTTTTGCTGACGTTGTTCGAGACGGAGGGGGCTCGGGTGGAGCTGGTATAAATATTCACAAGACTTCACGCTTGGCGCTTGCTCGACCTCCACGATTTTCGCGTGATGACATGGCGCTGGAAGAAAGCATCAATGAGCGGTGGGAAACTAAAGACGATTCTGAATTAAAGTAAAGGAGCTACAAACGAACGGTGCTCATCAATCTGAATCCATTCGAAAGGTGTGGCTCACGAAGTGCTTCACGAAGCAGAAAAAAGCGCTTGTCACCCCGTCTCTCACGCGGGCACAAATTTATGCAGCTTCACTTGGTTGAGCCAAAACTGTAAAGAAATCCCTATGAAAAGCAACACATCCAGAAAGTAAGGTCACCGTATCCTGTTACTCGCTTGATTCGTCAACAATCGTACCGCTTTTTCGCGCTTGCGGTCAATGAGATCAAGCTTCATTAGCGTTTGAAGAATTTCCTTGCAACGAATGACTGGTAGTCCGCTGTGGTTGACCAAGTCCGAGATAGAACTACATATCAAGTACACGTAAGCAAATGACTTAATGAGAATTGTTTCAAGGGCGTACATGGCGCAGTGTCGATTTTTGAGATAAAGCACAATATTTTCGAGCTTCTTAAGCTCTGCAGGGCTTTGGTACTTGCGTGGAATCTTCTCTCGGATATCTGCACCAAGTTGTCAAAAACCAAAAGCAATTTATAAAAATTGTCGTTAACGTACGACGTTCCCATGTCCATACAGGTGGTGCTGCTTTGGTCGCCAATTTTCGTTTCTTTATCCGCGAGTTGTTTGAATCTACCTTTGCTTGCCTCTTCATACTAATAACTTTGGCCAGCGGTTTCTTCTGCACGAGCTCTCCATTTGACGCTACCCTACTTTTCTTGCCTTTTGACGTACCATCCTGTTTCTTGTTTCCGGCAGAGCACACCTGCAAGTTATCCAGTGGATTTATTCCTGTTCCAGACGCAGCTAAGTTGTTGTCTTTTGGTTGTGAGCGAGTCGTAGGGGCCATGGGCATTGGAGAGTTCTTTGGATAAGTCAAACACGACGCGTGCAATGCCATTGCGCCCTGAAAGGCACCAAATGCCAAGTTGAAGTCATCCACTGCCTCGTGTACATATGCTAGTCGTTCCACCTGCTCCTGGAGACCATGAAGGGCGCCGCAGAGTTCCGCGAAGGGCGCGGTCAGTGGGTCCGACATTTTCGCGCTTTGATTTGAAATGCAATGCAAATTTTTATAGATTTCGAATATTTAAAGTAGATGTTGTACTAATATTTTGCTGACAATTGTGTAAAGTACGACGATGTACTATAAAATTCATTGTTCGGAATTCTCTGTAATCGCAAGCATTTCTAGAACGTTGTCTAGATCGTCACTGGTGCAATAACGTTTGCTCATGTTCTTGGTAGGCTCGGAGAAGGGCGTCTCGAATAAACTAGACATTAAGTCACTATCTTGATATTTACAGTCTGCATTTCTTACGACATTCAATATTTTACCAAGACGTAATTATAAAGAAATCTGACGAATCACCGATAAGCACTAGTCACCATTCGTTAGCTTGCACCGTTCCCTCCCCTTTTCATAAACCATTTTTTGTTGCTTACAACTCTTGAGCAAATGATAATTTCAATCAGCTACTCTGAAAGAGGTTTAGTCGCCTCGTATAATATATGTTAGAATCAGGTTTATGATGCTCACAAATGGTAAAAGCACTAAGTAAATGTGCTCATTGCACTTCGACAACGTCGCAGCCGCAAACCCTAGATCTCTATAATCAAAACAAAAGCATAAATCATCAACCTCCGATGTCGTTCAAAAAGTTTCATGCGTTAGTATGATTCACAAATTCATTCTAGCATTATAAACAATGACTCTGATGAGTTGTCCATCCAAATTACCGCATGATGCAATCCAATAAATCTATAAAAGAGATTCAGCCAAAACAATTATTTTTGTTGGTTTAGCAGAATTACAAATTAAAGTAATGTTTACATGTGATGGTCTAGTTGATGCTATGCTGCATTTACAAATGCGGCTTCCGAGAGCTATCACTCGGTAGATGGCCACTTAGCGCATTAATCAGTCAGATTACGTCAGCCATATTGATAGCTGGTGTCGCTGACTAGTTTAGTGTCGATCCGCAGTTCGTAGCGGACCTTGTACCGAAATCGAATAGACGACGAAACTACGGTATTTAGTTGATACATGGAGACAGAGCCGAAGTTCTGTGTCGCAGCGTTCCTGCAGCTGCCGATAAGATTCAGTCGCCTTTATTTTTACGTGAATAGATGATGCGCAGATCAGGAGAAGCTGATAACAAATTGACACTTTTCTTAACAACGTGTGGGCAAAGCAAGGCAAAAAATCCCTCGGTGTGAAGATGAGCGAGGAATGAATCACAGAAATATCGACATAAATGGCCCAATGAACTTTACACCAACACGATGGCCAGATTCTTCGTATAATTGATAATCTGTCGTGAGCTAAAGTGAGATAGTCACTTTTGTGTTCGACATGCGCTCACATGAGAGAATGTAGAAATTGCACTCTCAGCACTAAGTTAAATCTGGTGTTTGATAGTTTGCGAGCCTCATTCGATAACACTGGCAATGCAACTACCAATGTTTCAGGATCGAATACCACGTGCGATCATAGCAGAAAAGCGCTGACTACCAATGAATTCATTTAGTATGCTCAAGATTTGAATGTATATTATGGTTCCGAACTCATCATCGGACTTGAAGCCAAAACTCGGAAGAAATATCAATTGGTAAAGGTGGATGAGCACTAAATTGGGCGATTGTATATTTGTATTAAGTAAAAGGATATATTCAGTATTAGTTCAGATAAAACATGGCAATTCTTAATTAGAAAGCTGCTAGGAGTGCTCTCGATTCCGCTTTGGGGAAGAGATGACATACCAATTCTCAGTGCGTTTGTTAACTTCCTTCCCCGAGCGGCATTTCCAAAACAGGAAATGATATGCTCACGGATGTACCGTGTGCGACTGAACTTCTTGCTCTGCTTTAGAAAGGCGACAACTATTGGATAATGTCAAAGAGTTGAAAGTGCGATAACAGCAGACCCAATTACAGAAACGACACCAAATGCCATCTCCATGAAAGGTCTCCGTGCAGGAGCGACTCAAACCAACACCTATCGCATTCACCTTACCTCTTTTCGAAGGGACAAAAGGTGTCACATTAAATGCGGTTTCAATTTCCAGCTCACGAGCACAGGATGGAGTAACGGGAGCCAAAGCCATATGTGCAACGAAGTTACATACCCTTGTATGAAAGGACGGGTCACACAAGATGGTGTGACCGTACAAAGGTGTGTATTACACAAGTTGGTATAGTCACACAATGGTGTGGCTACACCGTAACAAGAAGCCACTTCGTGCCGGGACTGCCAGTAGTTATGCATATTGATTAGGTTAACTATTTGATAAGAAAATACTTAGGTTTTAGATATAGGCGGCTCTGCTGCAAATGAAACAATTGAATACAGTTTCAATTATAAATAAGAGAACGTCTTTACTTTGGTCAAGGTTTTTAAGGACTTAAGAGAACCATTTAAGAGCGGTGCTCGAGTGCATGCGCATGACTAAGCTGTATGCTAATGCCGATAAGTGCATCTCGGGGCTGAAGAATCCCCCTTTTTAGGGTACTTTATTAGGAAGCGTGGCCTTCAAACGGATCTAGCTAAGGTCAAGGCTGGTTGGTTCCAAAGAACCAAATGAAGTTGCGCAAGAGGCTTGGCCTCGCCAACTACTTGCACAAGTATAGCGCGAACTATGCGCGAATGGTACGTCCATTGTCGAATCTCCTAAAGAAAGATACGGAATGGTATCGGGAAATCGAGCACCTGGAGGCTTTTTGACATTGAGCATCGGGAAGCTTTTGGCAGGGTCAATGACAGCCTCCTATACTAGCGTTGCCAGACCTCAATCGTCCTTTTAGTGTCATATGCGACGCTTCGGACTTTGCCTTCGACTGTGCACTGCTGCAAGCAGACGCCGAGGGGCGAAACTCGCCAGCTTAAGTCTGCGGAGAGGAACTACCCAGTCCACGACAAGGAATTACCTGCGATGAAGTATACACTTGTCAAGTTCAGGGTGCACCTGTATGGCTCCAATCCGTTTATGATCCACACAGACCATGGGTCACTACGCACTGCAGCTCAGTCGCCTCATCTCACGCAGAGAATGGCCAGGTGGCCCTTTTGTTCGCATTGTATAATTTTGAAATGAAGTATAATCCAAGAAAGCAGAATGCATTGGCTGATGCATTGTCACGCAGACCGAATTATGAGGTTGCTCATGTCACGACAGTGACGTTGTCAGCAGCGCTACTACAGTCTGTCGGAAGCCAGGAGTTCGGAAACTCAGACAAAAATTGCCGGCGCGATTGCGCGCACGGTGACACCGATATTCGTTGAATAACGGTGTGCTGTATTACAACACCAATTCGACGGATACGCCACGAATTGTGAATCCTCACGTTAAGAACTTGAAATGCCGTATCCTCTATGAGACCCACGACACCCAACTTAATGGTCATTTCGGTTGTGCAAAGACGTACAGCTCTGTGAGTTGCCACTACTGGTGGCCCAAGCTGAACAATCAACGTGTACAGATGTGTACGCGTGTGAGACATGTCAAAGGTTGAATCCCTCTCTGAATGCGGCGGCGCCGCTGGCAAGTTTGCCGGTACCCATACGAGAGTTGGCAGTCCATGAGCGTTGTGTTTGGCGACACAGTCAACTTGGTGCCCAGCTTCCTGAAGATCGTTGACAAATACTTCCGAGTGAAGCGCGGGTCTCTAATAAAAACTATTGAGTTCGGGAGAACATGTTGTCGAAAAACACGATCGACAAACAGGCTCGCAGAACCCAAACTATCGATGGCTGCCGCAAGATAAGCCATCTTGCTTTAACGATCTACAAAGGCCATCACACCCGTGTTGTTCGCCAAGTCCTTTGGCAGGCAACAGCGGACCATCCGGAGACCGATGGTCAAACTGAGTGCGTGAGTCGCGTCGTTGATGACGTTCTTCGAAGCGTCTGCGCTGAGACGCCGAAGCGCTGGAGCGCCAAGCGGCCACATATAGAGTTTGCTCAAATGCAGTGCATTACCGATCCTGTGGTGCAGTGGTTCGCCGCTCACTTCAGGGCCGGGAGGTCTAGGGTTCAATCCCCGGGCCGGGTAGAGTCGGGTTAGAGTGTAATGAAAAACCCTACAGCACGTGCTTGACAT